TGGTGATATGCATGCATCTAGTTTCAGTCTACAGCATGTGGAAAGCCAATTTTTATAACACCATTCATTAAAGAGACTATCCTTCTTCCAGTGAACATGTTTAGCCCCTTCATCAAATATCAGGTGGCTGAGTGTCTAGTTGTGCTTGCATCTTCTAATGTGTTCCCTTGGTCCTCAGGTCATTTTATTTCAGAGTACCATGCTGATTTTAGCACTGTGGCTTTGTAGTATAGTTTCAAGTCAGGAATTGAGATGCCTCTTGAGCTGCCTTGACTTTGTTGCCCAGAATTGTTTTGCTATTCTGGGTTTGTTCTGTTTCCAAATAAATTTTGGGAATGTTTTCTCTAGACTTGTGAGGTATGTTAATGGTATTTTGATTTGGATTGCATTAAATCTGCATAACAGTTTTGGGAGTATGGCCATTTTCAACATGTTGGTTCTTCCTACCATGATAAAGGAACTTTCTTTCATTTTCTAATATCCTCTTCAATCTCTTTGTTTTGTGTAGCATAATTTTCAGCATATAGGTTCTTCACAGTCTTAGGTTGATTTCTCAGTATTTCATTTATTAGATGCTATTGTGAAGGGCCACGTTTCCATAATTTCCTTCTCAGAAAGTTTTTTGTTTGTGTATGAAAGAGTTTTAAGTGTGATAAAATAGAGAGAATGTAAAGTGAAAATAGCCTTTACTCCAAGGACTTGGAGAGAACTGCATGACTGCCAGCTTTCTCTGTTGGAAGGTGGGTTATGAAATCTCTATATAACCTCTGACCAGGGATGGCACTTAGGGTAGACATTGATAGGTTGAGGAGCTGATTGGTGTTTTCTTCATGTACAGGAAGTGGAGTTTCAATTAAGGCTTAGGAAGAATCAAAAAGAGGTAGGTGGTACTGTTTTGGCCTTCTGCCACATTAGACCACTGCTATAAATTCTACTAAGGCAAAAACTTTTAATTCCTGTCTTTGTATTGTTAGGAAAAGGTTGGAGCCTCTCTCTTACAAATTCCTGCTGAAAGGGGTGCCATATTGGTGTTTAGGAAGGTTGACAGGATGATGATTGATGCCTATGTAGAAGCTGGTACCAGGTGTTTTAGCCAGGACAACTTCTTCATTGGTGAATGCCTGCATCTTAGACTGGAAAAACAAAGAGACCCAGTGTTTTGAGGAGACAGGTCACTATCATATTTAAAGACCCAGGTGAGGAAGAAGGAAAGATGTCTTTGATTTAAATATGCTGTTTCATCAGGGCCATGATGGGGTAGAATCATTATCACAGTGAACTAGAATTCTGAAAAATATGTGTGTGGTTAGTAAGAGTGAAGTTATGAGAGGTAATCATTTCCCCCATTTTAAAGGGTAAAAGTTAAGAGTGTAGGTAGGTAGGGCTTGTCTTTGGTCCAGGAATTGGGCTGGAAAGAATAAGAGGGATGGGGAGGGCTAGGGCTGTGTCACTATAAGGGAGGTAAGAGCCTAGGCCCACAAGGATCTCATGTTTCCTTAAACAGCTGAGGGTAGAGATAACTAAAATGATTGTCATGTAGAATAACATGAAGATGATTTTACACATGATGTGGGAGTCTTTAGGAAAGAATGTTAAGATTCCTGCTGTAAAGAGATAATTAATAGAAGGTAAGGAATTAAGAACCAAATTGGATAGCAAACCATGATTTAGCCTGAAAGTTGTGGCTGTGAGGACTTGGTGTAATGGAGATGAGTAGGTGATAGGATGGTTAGTTTTAGGGCTGCGAGGGCACCACTTGAGTGATTGGAATCAGGATTGCAGTCCAGCAACTGTGATGTCAGGGTTGTCAAGAAGACTAGGAAGGGGCTGTTCCACCTTGGTTGTAGTCCTGTTGAGTGATCTGAGAAATAAAGGCTGGACCGCTATCTGACTGAATATTCTGAGGTAGACCAACCTTTGGGATGATTTCCTGTAATAGGACTTTAGTAACTATCAGCAGTCTCCTTGGTTGTGGGAAAGGCTTTTATCCATCCTGAAAAAGTACAAGCAATGATGAGAAGATATTTGTGAGTTTTGTGGCATGGCATATGTGTAAAACCTATGTGCCAGTTCTGACCAAGGGTGAGTCCATGAAATTGATGAATAGGAAAGGAAGGTGGTGCTATATGTCCCTGAGGAGAGGTTCTAGCACAGAGATGACAGGTATGAGTTATCTGAAGAATGATAGCCTTTAGAGAAATATGTGTAACTCCTGGGGCTAAGAGTCTGTATATAGCCTGTGATCCTATAAGGAAACAGTTATGTAAGTCAGTGATGATGTTGACCTAGATATCTGACTTTTGGGGAAGTTATTTGGGGTTTAGCAGGAGAGACCATGTACCCAGAACTGGCAAGAAAATTAAGAAGACTAGCTGAATGCTGTATGGCTAATGTATGGGATAGAGAACATGAGAAGGTCACCTATGTATTGAAGGAGAGTGCTTGGTTTGAGATCAAGTTCTTCAAGGTCAACAGCAAGAATTAGGCTAAATAAGTGAGAACTATTCCTGAGCCCTTGGGGGAGCACTGTCCAAGTAAATTGTTAAGACTTGAGAGTGTCTGCATCACTCCATATAAATACAAAGAAATTCTGACAATCAGGGTGTAGGGGTATGGTATAAAAAAAGGCATCTTTAAGATCTATGGCTGTAAAGTGACTGGTGGAGGGAGGGATATGAGAGAGCATGGTATAATGGTTTGGCACCACTGGATGGATTGGGGTAACAGCACCTTTGATTACCCTAAGGTCCTGCACTAGGTGATAAGACTCATCAGACTTGAGTACAAGGAGAATGGACGTATTATAGGGTGAATGTGTAGGTTTAAGAAAACAATTGTCTAAAAGCCACTTAATTATTATGTTTATGTCCCTGTAAATGTTTGGGAGCTATGGGATATTGAGAAACACAAGGAAAAATTGAAGGATACCTGAGATGAATTAAAACAGGTATGACATGGATAGCACAGGTGGGATTGGAGGTATCTCAAACTATGGGATCAACCAGAGAAGAAGGGAGTCTGGGACCTGCATGGAATAGGCCTTGTCTGCAAAGGCTGCATAGGTTGGTCATCAACATCCACTATAGAGACTGAGGACTTAATATCGCAACCTGAAAACTCAGGAATAACACTATACATGGCCTCTATGTCCACTAGTACAGAGAATGTCTTACCTGAGACCTCCAGTGGTACTTCTGGCTCTCAGGATAGCTTAATGGAGGGCTGTGGGCTCCAAGCCCCATTAAACTTCAGCTTCAAGTCCAAATACATCAGTCAGTGATGAATCTGGTGGTGATGAGATCTCTTATGAGGGCAAGGAGTTAAATAATGGCTTACACACTCTCTGGTGGCTAGGACAGTAGCTCTTCCAAGGGCCCTTGAAATTGCAATAGGGGCAATGCCCCAGAATTCCAGGGTTGGGGAAGTCTCTTGCCCAATGTGCTTCTTTGTTGCACTTGATGCATGGTCCAGGAGGGGCTCACGCAGGTTCACCTTGTCTCAGTTTACCCGTCTCAGAGCTCCAAGTCTCACTGCTAAAAGATCAGATTGTTATTTTTCCTTCTGATTTTATCTCTGTTGTTGAAAACACAAAAAGCCATATTAAAAAGGTCTCCCTGTGGGGTTGAGGGCCAAGTTTAGGCTTTTATCTTGGGATCCGGCACACAGTGGAAGGTATCTGTGTCTCCACAGTCACAAGACATCTGGTTTTTACTTTGGGTGGGTGTACAGCTTTAAGTCTGAAGGAGATAAAGGCAAAGAGTCAATTAAATATGCAGGAGTCAAATAATAGAATCAACAGGGGATTTATGATTATAAATTTATCAATGGCTTCCAATAAGGAGGATAAGGGTAAGGTTCAGGGAATTTTAGAAACTGACATGTCATACATTCATCATACACACATTTAGGTTTTGTAATTATGCAAATACTTCTTATGCTGTTAAAATGTCTAATACCATCTGATTTTTGGAGGATGTCCTCTTTTATTAATTTTATCATTATTTAGGAGAGAGATAAGCTGTTGAGTCATTTAACACCAGTTTAGTATAGCTAATTATGGCCCCAATATGCATCATATAACCTTTTTTTTTTGGAAAAGATCTGGTGGATCACAGCAAAAGGAATCCAAATGGATTTATAATTATATCTTAATGTTAGTTGTTGAATATCCAAAAGATTGATAACAGTATAGAAGAGACAATAAACTTAATATAGAACATTAAATGGAACTATTATTTTGTATTAATCATGGGTGTTTTAACATTTGAGCACTGAAGAAATTTGTATACATCATATCAATTTTTGTTTAAAAATTATCATTTGACTGGTGACCTTGTGTTGGTCTGTCATGAATCTCCTGGCTGACCACACAACAAAAAGGCAGATGTATGGTTCTGAAAGTAAATGATTATCATCATAAACAATCCCAATTTTATATTTGAAGGCAGCAATATACCATCAAATCAGCAACAATGAATTATAAGTCATATAAACTTTAGTTGAGATGTTTCCTATAAGGCTATGGAGATTATTGAGGCCTCAAATTAATGAAGAAGAGCTGGTTAAAGTTACCAAGTGGCCACCTTCTGGTTCATCAATCAAAGTCCTCTCCAGTGTCTCCTTACCCCAAGTGATGTTTTTAACCAATTTTAGCATCATTTTGACCATCTGGCAACCAAGGTGGAAGCATGTTTTTTAAATCACATCATTTAATCAAATGTAAAAATGTAAAAGAGACAGAAAAAAAAACAGCTGCTTACGGAACAGGCAAATTGACAGACAACAGATATATAGACAAACAATTATAAAGTTAAAATGCACTCAAATATATTTGGCCAATTTGAACTATAATAAATAGACTAGTGTAATCCTTTTTGTAGATCAATTAATAGAGATCTCTTGAAATAATAGTATCAGAAAAGGGACCTAATTTCTGACTAATCTGAGATATCTCAGAAAGGAAAAAGTGGAACATGAATATTAGCTAATTCCCAAAACAGGAACAGAGACTGAGGCTGAGAAGTCTGTGGCCACCAAGCAGCCAACAATCTGGCAGGTGTGTGTGGGCAATTATCTGATAATTGCCTATAAAATGGCCACTAATCACCATGCAACAAAGAAATGCAGGCTGCTGGCAGGTTACCATGTGATCCACGGCAACCTAGATGCTGCCAGTAACACACTAAAGGGGTGCAAAATGGTGGCTGGCCATCATGTGACCCACAGTTGGATAGCTGCTAAACACATGAGGGGCCACAAGGGGGTGGCAGCTGACCCTGAGACTCGTTGCAAGAGGGCAGTACCCTGCCATGTGACAGAGGGCCGCAAGATCCTGGCTGAGCTCCATGACAGCTGCAGCAACATGGCTGCTGACAATCATCTGGCCTGCTGGAGGGCTGGAACACATGAGACAGGCATAGAAAATGGCAATGAAGAGACTAAGAACCCACAGAGGGAACAGACAGCTCAGCTGGGGGCTTGAGAAGTTGGAGACTGGGGAGAGACACTAAGGGAAGGCCACTGTGAGTGAGGAATGGGACCAGAGTGGAGCAGGGGGCAAAGAAACCTCCGGCTGAGAAAACTGCAGGATTTGGTGTGAGAGATACAGGAGAGGAGCCAAAAAGACAGGAGATGTATCATCTAAGGGGTCCGGTGGGGAGAAAGGGAGAGATCCTGATACAGCAGAGTGAGCCAGAAATATTTGGGCCATCACAGAAGACAGGGTGAGAGGATACACCCTTAAAATGAAAAGTGCCTAAAGATTAAGAGTTTCTGCCAACTTGCCACCACTGTGAAAAAAAAGCATAAATGAAAGGTCAGCTTTTTGGCTTTTATATCTTTCTAGATGCCAAGAGCGCCAATGTTACTAGCCAGGTACCACGGAGGTGTGTTTTTGGGGGGACAGTAAATGGCCCCCATTGCCGAAGTATAAGTGAGCTGAGAGAACAACTTCTCTCAGCTTTAGCTCCCTCCCAAAGAATGTGGAAGCTGTCCTTGGTCACACTTAACAAAAGAGATCATCACCTCTTTTGACAGTGTGATACAGAAAGTCCAAACACCCATTTTCTTTGACTGAGTCACCAAAGAGTGTGAGGTGGGGTCCCAGGGAACAAAAATATCAGTTTTGCCTCAAACCATATGGCCTAAGGAGTGTGAAAACTGGCATCCCTGTTCTGGGATGGCAGGATGGGTTTTCTGTTGCAAGCTTGCTAAAGAATGGAAACAGAAAACCCCAAAAGGCAGCTCATCTGCTTGGAGTGAGGAAGGTTGCTGTTGCATGCAGATTAGCAGTGGCAAGTAAACTGTCCTGGAGGAAGAAAGAGGTGGTTCTTACGCAGGGAGGCTCAAACTGGGAGGGATTCCCAGGAGTCACTCACTCTGCCATCTGAGTCATGGCAACATTATGAAAGAATTTTCAGCATGATAAAATAGAGAGGATATAAATTAAAAATAGCCTTTACTCCAGGGATGTGGAGAGAATTCCATGACTGCCATTGGCCTGGCCTTCTCTGCTGGGATGTAGGGTATGGAATCTATATATAACCTCTGATGAGGGGTGGTGCTTAATGCAGACATTGATGAGGCTCGAGTAGCTGACTGGTGTTCTCTTCATGTGCAAACAGAAGGGGAGCTACAATTAAGGCTGAGGAAGAAGCAGGACATTGTAGGCAGTCCTGCTTTGGCCTTCAGCCATGTTAGACCACTGCCATAATTTCTACTAAAGCAAGAACCTTTCAATGTACAGGAGTGCTTTTGATTTTTGAGTATTGACTTTGTATCCAGTTATGCTGCTGAATTTGTTTATTACCTCTAATTGTCTTTTAATGTAGTTGTTTGGGTATTTTATGTAGTGTATCATGTCATCTGCAAATAGTGATAATTTAACTTCTTCCTTTCCTATCTTTATTCCTTTTTTTTTCTTGTCTGATTGCCCTGGTTAGTATTAAATATGTTTTTTTTGTCTTTTTCCTTTTTATCAGTACCAGGGATCAAACTCACAACTGCCTGCTTGCAAGGTTGGCGCTTATGCCGCTGAGCTAAATCCCCAGCCCCCTAAATATGTTTTAAATTACATTCTTGGTACAACTTAGATATACATAATAGTCTTAGTCATCATAGGAAATTTGTATATATACATGATATATTTTGATTCTTTTTTCCATTCCCATCCATTTCATTCAAAACCTTTGACCGCTTGTAATTTACAAAGTTTTGTTTCCATTTTATCCTTTTCTCTCCTTTTTCACTTTCCCTTCTTTTCTTTCCCCCAGTCCTTCCAATTTCACCTTCACTTTTCAGCATTTTCTTCCTATTTATATTATGTGTTAAGCATGTTGGCCTTTATTACACTTTAAGTTACCCACACCAGAGAAAAATTCGATATTTAATGCAGTTTCAATTTATTTTACTTCATTATTGTCTCAGGGTTCTTCCAATTACGTAGAAATATTTCAATGTTATCCTTTTTGATTTCTGAGTGATACATCATTGCATTAAAAATCCACATCTTCTATATCTATTCGCCTGTAGACTGTTACCTGTACTCCTATTAATATGTGTATGCATATATTGTTTTTTGAAATTTGTGGATGATATTAAGAAGAGGTATGGCTGTTTCAAAAAGGACATCTACTCCTCATTTTTAAGTATTATCTACTCCTCATTTTTGAGTATTATCTACACTGATATCCATGGTGTTATCACTAGTCTAATTTCACCCAAAAGTGGAGAAATGCTCTAATTTCCTTACCAATTAACCATCATTTATGATTGATTGATGTGTTATGATAGCTTTTCCTTCTGAAGAGAAGTGGAATCTCACTGTTGTAATTTGCACTTCTTGAATTGCCAGTGATGTTGATCATATTTTCTTTTTCTTATTAATTTCACTTTTACAATTAGATATACACAATGGTCATATTCATCATAGAGGACTTGTACTTATACATGATATTTCTTTATTCCCCTTTTCTTCTAATCACCTCCCCTCTCCTCGACTCCTATTGCCCTCCTTATTTACAAAGACTTGTTTCCAAGGTATCCTTCTCTCATTTGTATCCTCATTCTTCCTGATTTTTGTCCCATCTATGAGTACACTTTTTTGAACCATTTCTTCATAGTTCAAAACACCTATTTGACCTTTGGGGTTTTTTTCTATCTACCTATATAATTTCATTTTAGTTTAAAGAAAAAAATTAAAAATCAATAATACACAATCTCAAAAATTAATAGGAAATTAACCTTGGATAACATGTATAATTATCTTCAATATAGTTGTACAAATTGCAAGATATAGGCACGCATAATTGAAAGAACTGTATAATCAAAAACCATTTCCTTTTCAATGAATCAAAAGAAATCAGTAGTATATCTATTTTAGTTATCTTTTGTATACACACACAAAACACACATCTATTATTTAACCTTCCTTTTCTGCTTTCACTTATTCTATCTTTTTTTATTTTGAAGAGTGTCTTACCCTGTCACATTATCTATTGTAGATTTTGCATCTTTTTTGGTTTCTTACACTATGGAGACAATTTGATATTTACACATGCAAGACTGATTTATTTCACTTACAAACATGTTCCGTAGTTGTATCTAACTACCTATAAATGTCTTAAGTTGGTAAAAGTACATAAGATACAAAACAATAAATACAATGAAAGGGTAAAAATACAAGTAAAGAAAAAAATAATATCCCAGGGAAAATGAGGAAAAAGAAAAATCAAGGAAAAAGAAAAACTAAAGTTATACAAGCACACTTAGGTTAGCTAAGATAATTTTGCCTCAAATTCTGTAATTACTTGGAACAAAAAGTTAGCATTCATAGGATTAGAACAATTGTGTGTATTATTGTATGGTGATCTGAGGAACTCTTAAAAATCATTATGTCAAATAACAACCTTAGTTATGCTCATAACATCTTTTTTTGGAAGGCCTATATTGTCAGTGTTTTCAGCTTTTGGCTATTGTTATTTGTCTTTTTTGTTTGGTGTTTTTCTAGGAACTTGTTTAGTTTTGTTTTGATTTTACCTCTAATATGAAAAGGTTAAGTACACATATATAGATTCATGCATGTGTAGAAGGTTTGTTAAACAGTTTATGAGAATCAATACATAATGCATGATGAAATGAACAGCTACTTTGAGGAAAAAGAGACACTATGGTATTCAATGTTGATTCTATAGCATCATATCATGAAATCCAGGAATAATATTATTCTTTGTTCAGAGTAATTTAAGTCTGTTTTGTATTGTTAAAGTTCAACATACATGAAGGTATGGGCAGCTATTTTGAAGAGATCAAAAGACATTATAGCAGCCATTGTTGATTTGCCTATTGTCTGGTTTTGAAGACCTATCAAGCCTTCATTATTCTGTTCTGATCAATTTAATAATATTTTGTTTTGAATAAATTAATTGTGTGTCAATATATGGACAATTATTTAGAAGAAAACCAGATACAACAGGAAAACCAGTGGTGATCTCCTTACTTTGCAATCAAAGTAAGGAGTGGTAATCTCCTTACTTTGAAAACTGTGTTGTTTACATTGTTTTATTCTGATCTGCTTTGTTCTGTTTTGTTCTGTTTAGTTGTACACTCTTTAAAATAAAAAAAAGCCTCGAGTTTATCCTTCCTTATACTCCACTATACAAAAGCACATATTTTTTATTCATTCCTTGGTTGATGGGCAATTTAGGTAGTTTCCAAGATTTAGTTATTACAAATTGTGGTGCTATAATCATGGGTGAACATATATCATTATGTGGTGCAGTTTTTAGTTATTCTATAAAAGTATCAGAAATTGAATATCTAGGTAAATTGTGATTCTAATCCTAGTTTTAATAAGGAAACTCCATACTGATTTCCAAAATATTTGCCCCAGTGGACAATCCCACCAACGGTGGTAAATGATTCCTTTTCCCTGGTGTCCTTGACAACATTTGTTATTGGTTTATTTCTGTACGATAGTAATTTTTTCTGGAGTGAGCTGAAATCTCACTGTTAATTTGTGTTAATTTGCATTTCTTCAATGACCAATGATGTTCAACATTTTTCATATATTTGTGTGCCATTTGTATTTCTTCATCTAAGACATGTGTATTAATCTCAGATGAATTGAGTCTTTGGATTTGGAGGTCATATTGTTTTCAATTATTTTTAGGTTCCATATAGAAATTCTTTGTTTGAGTCTTTGCATTGACTTTTTACTCTGTTGATGATTTCTTTCGATGTGTGTAAACTTTTTAATATATGAGACTCCAGTTGTTGATTCTGTTAAGTACTTTCTGTGCAGTTTGAGTTTTGTTCATGAACAGTTAGCCCTGTGTCTTCAAGATTTCTACTTACTTTGTCTTTCAGAAAATTTAGTGCTTCCATTCTAAAGTATACAATTTTGGCTGTATTGATATGGCATATTATGTTTATTGATTTGCATACATTGAACTATCCTTACCTTCCTGAGATGAACCCCTCTTT